GTAGTCAACTTCGTATATTGATTCGCTCTATACACTAGTAGTACAACTGCTACTATCAGTTCCTACATTTACTTTAGCCTAGCCTTGACCCTGATACTATTCCCCCAGCTGCTAAACCCAGTTTGGACCTGACGTTCGGAGCGGTTCATAACACTTTGACTACCCTGCAACGGATAGTATCAATCATGTCTAGCGTTCGATCCCCATCCCCATCCGGATCTGTCTTGAGAAAAAGAGGTGGTACTACTAAGGCTACTTCTAGCCTCAGTACATTGGTCCAGTCGGAAGGAGATGGTAAGCTCAAGGCTAGGGTGGAACCCTTCACCGGGCAACGCTCCCAACTTCAAGCTTATTTGATCCAACTCCGTATGGCCTTCAACCTTAACCAAGGACAGTTTACCAGCAACCGACTGAAGGTCATCTATGCCGCAGCCCATCTTAAAGGAGCAGCTTTTGCCTGGTTCGAACCCTTTCTCAGCGACCACTATGAGAACGCGAACGGGGCTAAAGAAAAGACCAAGAGGCTCATTAACTCTTTCGAAGAGTTTGAAAGAGAAATGAAGGTGATCTTCGGTACGGCTAATGAAGAAAGAACTGCTGCCAGAGAGATACATTAGCTCAGGCAAACCAGATCTGCATCTGCCTACTATTCTATATTCCAGCAAGTGGCCTCACACCTAGACTGGGATGAAGATAAAGCCTTACGGGACATGTTCTACCAGGGATTGAAGATGGAGGTTAAAGCCAAAATGGCTGTACCGCTACCTACAACTCTGATCAAAGTGGTAGACAAGGCTATCAAGGTGGACAACCGACTCTACAAGCTCAGGATAGAACAGCGACACCCCGGAAAGGTTCTATTCAGCGGGTATAGGGGAAGGAAGAATCGTACTTACAATCAAGGGGACCCAATGGATCTTTCCGTGATGCGAGCCGGACAATCCTCACGACCCAGAGGCCGCGGTAACAGAAGGATCCTAGGCAGAGACGAACGGGAGAAACGTAGACGAGACAACCTGTGCTTCAGTTGTGGAAAATCCGGACATCGGGCGAAAGACTATAGGACCCCGACCCAACGACTGCATATGATGAGCAAACGAACAGCCGGTACACCAGGAAAAAAGGCCGACACTGGTGTGAGCACTGCCAAAAAAGCGGGCAACCTCTCTGAATCAGAAGAGGTACAAGCACAGGAGGGATCAAAACAACCATTAGTAGGAACCAAGGCCTACTGGGAATAGTATAAGAAGGAGTTTACATAGGCGCACGTATCCTCTGAAGACAAGAGCTTCGTCAAGATCCCGAGAGAGGGAAAGGCCTCTCACACACAACCTCCAGAAGAGGAGAAGGCCAAGCCAGAAGAAGAAGCGGATACATCTGAAAGACTCAGCCGTTTCCAGAAGAGAGCCATTCGACTAGCGGAGAAATATGACTGCCACGCCAGAAAATCATGGACAGCCTGTTGGTACGATCGATGCTCTAAACACAGGAGCGAGAAAGAAGGGTCGAGGTGGTACCCTAGGGGGACCAAGAACAAATATCGATACTAAGACCCGGCCGACTGGATGAGAGACCTCCAACGGGAAGAGTCTGAAGAAAGTGCGCAGGATCCACACGATGTGTACGTGGAGGATAAGGAAACTAAGCACAATCTTTCCATGATAAGCAGGAAGGTGCCCAAAGGAAAACAACCTAGCGAGAGGGATTCTCCCTTGGTGATCCTTAATACGGGACCTTTCTATGTCACAGTAGCCACCAAACAGTGGGGATTGACCATAGGACGAAACGGGGAGAAATACCCTATCTACTTTCCGACAGGAGGAAGAATAGAGACACAATAACCCATGGTGATGAGAGTGTGCCCTAACTATGAATGTCCCAGATATCCGACTATTCACACACACAATGTGATAGGACAACCAACATACTCCCTGGAGGAACAAGGGTCAATAAGCCTACATATGATAGCTAAACGACAACCAATCACATTACCATACTTCCAAGATGAAGAAACAACAAGTGAGGAAGAGTCGAGTGACGAATTAGATTGGGAAGACTAGACACATGACAGCGAGCTTCCTGAAGCCCTAAACGAAGACCAAGCCTCCGAAGCCAAACTATAGATAGTCACTCACATTACATTAGGATTGGTCAGGCTTGTCACTAATCGATGGGAAAAGAAAAGGTGTACAGGAGATTGTTCAATCGATACCCAACACACGCATGTCACATACACATCAAAAGCAAGCCCAAAGAGGGACATTAGGGCATTTCACTTGAAAATGTGTAAGGACAAACAGTGCGAAAACAAGGACAACCTGCATGTACATATTAAGCACAGGGAAGACGGAGCGTCCGAGGAGATAAACATACCCGCATCCTAGAAGGAACATTTTGAAAAGCTACAGCTTAGATCAGAGCAACCAAGCAAGGAGGTTAAGGTAAAAGACAAAAGACCTGACAAGACAATATGGAGCAGGAAGTTCTTGTGCGCTAATGCAGATTGCAGAGACTTTATAGAGCCACACGAACATCACTGCACTATTGACCCTATAGTGCCTCACCTAGCTATCTCCTACTGCCAGGCAAGAGGGATACTCCAGGAAGAAGGGCTCTACAGAGACAAAGATTACACGTTCCAAGAATACCGGCACATCCACCTACTAAAAAACGAGAGAAGGGGAGGCCGTTGAGGCAAACCTCTCCTCTAATAAAGCCTTAGCTTTGTACACTCGGTGGAAACGCTAACCAACACTTGGTCCTAACTGGACATATCCAAGGAAACTACGTGAGAATAATGGTCGACAGTGGGGCCAATATCAACTATATAGGCATGGGGGCAGCATATCAGCTAAAAACCCACTGGTACAACAAAGAACAACCCTACCAATTGGATATGGCCGACAGTAACTTGATGAAACGAGACCAAGGGTAGGTTAAAAAAGAACTACAGGACATCCAACTTCAAATTCAAGGACATAAAGAAAACATTGCGCTGGATATTGTTGACATAAAATACAACGTGATATTAGGAATGGAATGGCTGGCACAGCACAATCCAGTAATCAACTGGAAAAAGAGAACACTTGAATTTCCGAATTGCAGTCACAGACAACAAATGGGGGCCCAATCAGCCTCAAAGGTTCCCTTCACAAAGGCGATATAGGTACAACCGGTAGGAAGAGCTCTGGCAGGTATGGCTGCATCAGAAATTCCCCCGGAATACAAAGATTTCGAGGATGTGTTCACAGAGAAAGTAGGGAGTGCTGCCCTACTAGAACATCAACCGTGGGATCACGAGATACCCCTGTTAGTAGAAAATCCGAAGTACTATGCCAGATTAATACCACTTTCTAAGAAGCAGGAGGACTTCTTGAAAGAATACTTGGAAACCCACCTGGAGAAACAATTTATATAGAAATCTACGTCACCTATAGCACATAGTGTGCTATTTGCACCCAAGAAAGACAGCAGCCTACGACTGTGTATCGACTTTAGGAAGCTCAACAATATCACCCGAAAGAACTGATATTCACTTCCGCGCATAGATAAACTGCAGGACAGACTTTTAGGCGCCAAGTGGTTTACAGCGATCAACATTAGGGACGCCTATTATCGAATCAGGATAAAAGAGGGTGAAGAATAGAAAACGGCGTTCAAAACATGTTAGGGACTCTATAAGTATCAAGTCATGCTATTCGGATTGACCAACGCACCCGCCTCTTTCCAAGAGCTAATTAACAACACCTTACGAGACTATTTGGACGTTTTCGTCCTGGCCTATCTGGACGACGTCCTCATATTCTCACAAACCTACAACGAACATGTGGAGCAGGTTCGAAAGGTGCTCAAGAAACTACGACAAAAACACCTCCCGGTGAAACTCAGCAAATACGAATTTCACAAACACAAGATAGCTTTCCTCAGCTACCTTGTCTCAGAAAAAGGATTAGCTCCAGATCCTGAAAAAATACGATCTATTGAGGAGTGGCCTCAGCCACAGAACGTTAAGGAAGTACAATCGTTTGTGGGACTTACTAACTATTACCGCAAGTTTATTTTAGGGTATTCTCATACAACTACTCCTTTAACAAACCTCACAAAGAAGGATCAACGCTTTAACTGGACAGAAGAATACAAACAGGCCTTCAAGGCCATTAAGGAGAAAATAACTAAGGCTCTAATACTCGCCATCTTCGACCTAGAAAAGGAAGCCATACTCAAAACAGACGCCTCAGACTACGCAGTCGGCGCATGCCTTACCCAAAAAGGGGAGGATAGAAAGATCAGGCCAGTGGCCTATTGGTCCAGAAAGATAACCGGACCCGAGTTAAACTATAATATCCACAACAAGGAACTGTTGGCAATAGTGGAAGCTTTAAAAGAATAGAGAGTATACCTAGAAGGGACCAGTCAACCCGTTCAGATCTTCACTAATCATAAAAATCTTCTATATTGGACCACAACAAAGGAACTCAACCGGAGGCAAGTCAGATGGGCAGAAACGCTTTCAGCGTACAACTTCAAAATCACGCACGTCAGAGGAACGGAAAACGGACGTGCTGATGCTTTGAGCAGAAGGCCCGACTACACAGAGGGAACTAGACCCGTACCAGCCTTAATACTAAGGCAAGATGGGAACAGCCTAGTATACTAGAAACCTCAAACACTGGCAACTATGGAAATACAACTAAGTGAACAGCAACGCCAAGAGGTTATACGCGACAGGCATGATATCAAAACAGCTGGGCACCCAGGTGTCAACAAGACAATCGAACTTATAACTCGAGACTTCACCTGGCCCGGCTTAAGAAGAGATGTAGAAACCTACATCAAGAACTGCGACTTATACGCACGAACCAAACACAGTCGACACAAACCCTATAGGTTACTACAATCTCCGGAACTACTAGATGACACATGGACCTCGATCGCGATGGACTTCATCACGGATCTACCAAAATCCGCACATCCTCTCACAGGAGTGGAATACGATAGCATCCTGGTGATAGTCAAAAGATTGACAAAGTGGGCATACTTTGTACCATTCTTAAAAACAGCGACAGCAACAGACTTTGCTCACGTTTTTATGGAAACAGTCTTCGCACAGCACGGAATGCCAAAAGAAATCATATCAGACAGAGACAAGCTCTTCACATCGCAATTTTGGCAGTCGTTAACAGACCAGTTAGGAACAAAACATAAGCTGTCAACAGCATTTCACCCACAGACTGATGGACAAACGGAAAGAACGAACCAAGTCCTTGAACAATATCTACAGTGCTATTTAGACTATAAACAAACAAAGTGGGTCGAGTTATTACTAACAGCACAATTTGCATACAACAATTCAGCAGGAGCAACAGGAATCTCTCCTTATTACGCAAACTATGGAAAACACCCAAGACTTCATGATCACAAACTAGGTATGAAGCCAGTGGCAGAAAAAGCAAAAATATCAGTAACGCACTTACAAGCGATGCATCAACTACTTAGAGACGACTTACAGGAGATTCAAGATAAAACAACAAAATATGCAAACAAAAAGAGAACTGGAGGACCAGTCTTCTCAGAGGGGGAGATGGTTTACCTTCTACGAAAAAACATAAAAACACAGCGACCAAGCTCCAAACTGGATTACACCAAACTTGGACCATTTAGGATCATCAGAAGAACAGGAAATGTCAACTATCAACTCAGACTTCCAAGAGAAATAAGGATACACAACGTGTTTCACGTGTCACTACTGGAAAAAGCACCACAAAACATCAAGACTCCAGGACCAATATACGTTCACAAGGAAACACAGGAACCATATTACGAGGTCGATTGTATTATGGGAACCCAACTCATCGACGGGAAGCCACACTATCTGATTCACTGGAAAGGATATGAGCATACAGAAAACACGTGGGAACCGGAGGAGAATCTTACGCGGGAGGTTTTAAGGGACTATCGCCGGAACCTAAGACAGTGACAACCAGATCTGGTGGTTGAGGTTCCTCAACGCCAGCCAAAATCCAACTAGACAGCTCCGAACCAAGGTCAAAATCCAGAGAGGACATCACAGCTAGCGGCTCAGGATCGCCGGTGAAAGTGTCGAGCTCCTCAAGGGCTCGGGCTTCCTCCTCGATCATCTTTTCTTAGCGGTTGTGGATTCTGTCCAGTTTCTTGTCGAGGGAGTCGTGCTCCTTTTGGAGGGAAAGCAGCTCCCAGGCGAGACTGGTGAGACAGGAACGCG